TCCTAACCATGTATCAACATTTCTTCCTTAAATTAGCCCAAGAAGATAGCCGTGCTGAGATTATTGCACAGCAAGCTACTTTGCTGGGCAAAAATTTTTAAAATAAATTAAGAAATTTAAAAGCAAATGCTTGAAAAGTCAAATTAAATATCACAGGGAGAAAAAAGCAAAATCATGAAAAAATCTGGTCAATCATTAGCAGAAAGGCTGAAAAGACACGCTCCAATTGCTTTAAAAATGCACAGAACCCAGGTCTCCTTAAAATAGTTTTGCAAAGTACATCGAGAATTCCATGCAGTAATATGAAACACAAGGCCCGCTGCTGCCACTGAACATGCTTCAGCTGGCTGAACTGAAGGGGCTTGACATTAACCCAAGGCTCTGCAGAACTCGACAGGAAAGCACAGTGGAGATGCAGTTGCAAAGCTGCCCCAGATGTGTACATTTTCTGGTCCATTAAAATAACTTGGATGAGAGGCAAAGCACATTTGGCCCACAGAAAGAGGGAGTTAGGGGAGGGCCAAGGAGAGGACAATCAGCCTCACCATAGGCCTCCACCCCCCAGTCTTGCTCCCCTCTAAACCTTCCACCGCATGGCTTCTAGTCTAAATATCTAAAATGCAAATATGGCCCCAAGCCTTCCAGGACTCCCCAGAGCCAAACTGCTTTGCCATAAGCCTCAGTTTCCCTAACCCTGTTGTGGGGTTGAGAACTACTTCAAGGGTTCAGTGTGAACTTAATCGAGATCATATATACTTGNTCTGTTGTGGGAACTACTTCAAGGGTTCAGTGTGAACTTAATCGAGATCATATATACTTGGTGCCTGGCATGCGAGGCTTATAGTACACTTTAGAGGAGAAGTAGATGCCATAATTATCATCACTGAACCCGGGTACTATGAGGAGAGACAGGTGAAGGACGTGAAGATGTCTGGGCGGAAGACAGACAGATCCTAAGGATAGGGGATCTCAAGTTTTCCCGCATCTGAAGGGCTGGCATGAAATTCTTGGTAGTGAACCTGGCTAGTCTGGCAGCTACAAGGTGTAAGATTCTGCCTCGGTGTAAGTAAGAAAGGCCTTTGCGACAGTCGGTCAGTAGTTTCCCAGTTAAGGGGTGGTAGTAAACTTCCTGACGTTAGAACTGTGTAAGAGGAACCTAGATGACCATCTGGCAGGGATATTGAAGAGGGGATTCAGCCATGATTTGCTTGAACGTGACATTTTTAACCACCTCTGAAATCTGTACTTTTGAACTGTCTTTACTTGCCAATGAATGAATCATCCACATCTTGAGTTTCTGGTATGTGTAAAGCCTGGATCAAAGAGATACTCTGATGGTTTTCACTAGGGCAGAGGAAGCACTTAGTAGGTTCTCCAAGGTATATTAAAAGACTGACTGTGGGAGTCACCCAGAAAGCAGAAACTCTGGGTGTCTTTTGGTTGCTCTGAGACTGCCCAAGGGTGTCTCTTTGAGTGTCCTGAGCCTGCCATTCCTCCCCTAGAATCCATTCTGTGCACCTACATAAGACATATTTGAGTTCTGTGTTTATGCTGTTGGCATTCGTTTCATTGTTCTGTTCTTCTTTCTGGGTTCTTGGGAAATGGAACTCCCCCTTATGAAAATTATTTACACTGACTCAGGTGGGGAATTTGTTTGAACTTGAGGGTGCAGTGGTATTTCTTACATTCATGAATGTGTCTGTTTTATAAAGAGTGGAATCTGTGTTCTGCCCTTTGGTCACTGGGAATGAGAAAGACAGAGCTGGGATTCAGCTCCAACGCTGACAAGAAGGGACAGAGTTTCAGAGAAAAACATGCAGAAGGTTTGCTATCCGTGCTTTCTGTGTCTTTCTTTAATGAACTTGTTCTATAAGCATTTACTCCCCAGCCCTTGCAAGGAACCCGGGATGTTGAAGTTACTCAGCTTTTTTGTCATCCTTCAAAGAGCTCGTTCTAATGAGAGAAGATAAAAGGCTCTGGGACAAGATGGTAGGAAGAGACGGCCTGTGCTTGAGGAGTTAGTTGGTGGCTAAAGAAGGCTGCGCAGCAGAGATGGCCTTTGAGCTGGTCTTCAAGGGAAGTTGAGGTCACTGTGCACTCCAGGAGGAAATACTTCCCAGGATGCAGGCAGAGCAAACACAAAGGCTTGGGGCCTCATAAAACATGCTATCTCAGGAAATGTGAAATAGTTTAATGTGTCTGCAGTGCACTGTGTCCAGGAAGGTGGTAAGGAGATGAGACTGGTAACATATTTTGGGGTCACCCTCATTTGGATGGGATAGGCAGTCGGCCATGGTGCTACTTGAAATTATTTTGCAAGCATAGTTTGGAGCTTCATGGACTTTCATTAAATATGGCCAACTCTGTGTGATCAGTCTTGTAAATTATCAGAAGTCTTGCCATACATTACTTCCCCTTGATGCCCATAGGAATGTATTATTAAAATCTCACTTAAGATCAGTCCAAGGAAATCATAATTATGAAGAGAATATGCTGGAACAATGGAGTGACCACAGTTTGTGGGCAACCTAGGACCAGTGTCTGCAACAGGACAACTCATGGTCATGTCTGACTGTCACTGCATATATATCAAGGCTTGGTTTAAGGGAACTTGGCCTGACCTGTACCTTTGGATCTGGGAGGTGTGTGTTGATGGAGTTCATCTGTATAATGTATTCCCCAAATCACAGTAAAATAATTTGGGGGGGTTGGTTTATCTATGTCATCATTAGTGTAGCTAATCTGAAATGTGACCACAGTGCTTTTAAAAGAGTGATATTTCATGCTTTCTGATTATAAAGGCATACCTGCTTACTGTGAAAATAAATATAAATCTGTAAATGTAAAACACAAAGGAAAACAGTCACCCACCACTATTACAACACAACATTGTGGTGCATTTGAGGACAGGGAAGTGTGTTATTGATATAGTGACCTAATTTGAATCCAACACTCAAGTTCTCATATACTAATACTTGAAGGAACCCGGGTGTCTGTCCTATCTTTTCATCTCTTATACTAGCACCTATTCCAGAATCCAGCATGTAGTACATATCCAGTGAATATTGGTTGTTGGAATAAATGAATGAATGACTGGATGGCTGGGTGAATGTGGATTTTTATTTATTATTCTTCACCCAAAATTCACTGAATTTTGGGACCAAGTGCCCATTCTGACCTGGGCACCACTTACATCTGGGGATATAAGTAGCCATATGTGATACAAAGCCCACCCTCTCAAAGGCATCAGTGTGAGGGTGCTGACCCCCTTTGATGTGAGATGGGGTTCCTGTGAATGTGGAGCCCAGTCACCCTCTTTCAGCTGGTGTTCATGGCCTGACTGGGAAGACCCCAAACCCTCCAGGATCTCTTCTGCCTGTGATCTTAGGCACAGACCAAAGACTGCTACTCCAGAGTCCCATTCCTGAACTTTTCCAGGTGCCCTAGAAATGCCCAGCTAGCCCTGTCTTGCCTTCCTCAGAACACGTCTCCACTTCCCACTCCATTCGGTCTGGTTCCAGCTGGGAGGCGGGAGTGGTTGTGGAGGGTGCTCCGCAGGGGCGCCGCTGCTGCTGGGCGGAGAGCAGCCCTCCGCGGACCTTCCACCGCTCAGCCAGCTGGTCCAGCTGGGAATCCCAGATCAGCCCTGTACTGAGCAGGACTAGTTTGGCAGCTCTGGGGGAACATTTCTAGGGGACTGATCCTCCCCACAGCAGGAGCTGGCAGTTTTGCAAAAAAGAAAAAAAAAAAAAAGCCAACTATAGGGGCTGAGAGGAGTAGCTAAACTGATTTGAAACACTCCAAAATTCTGCTCGCTTGTAAGTGCAAGTTTACAGTTGGGGACCCAAACAAGATTGCCCCCCCCATGCATTCTCTCACACTCCCTGCTCTCCTTTCCAATGAGGTTTTTTGTTGCAATGCAATTTGTTTTGCAGTGCGATCGTTGAAGCAATATAATCCTGCCCAGACGCGACTTTCAGTCAGTGCATTCTTTTCAGCAATGCTATTGTTGCTATTATTATTATTGTTATTATTATTATTATTGCAATTCAGTGCCTGCCCTTTCCCCTGGAAACGCGCTCCGGCTGTGATTGCTCGGGTCTGACTTTGCGTGTGGCGGTGCGCTTCCAAACCCCCCTGTCCGCCCCCCGCCCCC